TGCATGGTTAATTTTATGTGTCAAGCTGGCTAAAGTGCAAAGATTTGGTCACATATTATTCTGGATTTCCTATGAAAGTGTTTGCTTATTTTTGGTTTGTTTTTTGACCCTTGAGTGAAGGGTCAGAGAGAGTGTTCAGTCTTCCAACCAACCATAGAGTGTGCAGTCTTCCAACCAACCATGGAAATTGGGAGGTGGGAGTGAAGTGGATGGACAGCAACAGCCTTACTTGAACACCAACTCTGAAATCCATTTCCACTGTGAGTTCAAGTCAAATCACTTTGTCTCTTTGAGCCCAAGTGTTATAATCTGTATTATAAATTACTGAGTAAAATTTATGCAAAGGATTTAGCACAGTACAGGTCCCCAGTAAACATTCACTAGTTGGCAGCTATGACCAAAGTAGGACTTAATGCAGCAATAATAGCCAGGAGAAAAGCACACCAGCCACATTTATTTGCTGCCAGGCAGCTCTTTAAATCTAACTTCTCAGCTCTCTGCAGTCTGGCTAACCCCTCAGGATTACTAAGACTTTCTCTTGTAATCTTATGAGGCTCAGTTGCTTTTAGGAGTCTTCAGTAAGAGCATCTTCTTAAGTAGATAATAAAGTTAGAGGATATTTTAATGTTAAAGAAGTTTGGAAACAAAACCCATATTCACATTCCATTGTAATCACCATAGGGTGATCAACTGTTCCATTTTGTCCTGGACTGACACGTTTTTTGGGTTACAGGAACTTCTGTTCTAAAAACTAGGGGCAAGCATTTGGCACATCAGTTAAAATGCCTCTGGGAAGACCTGCATCCCATAGGAGAGTGCCTGGGTTTGACTCTTGGCTCCACTTCAACTCCAGCTTCCTGTTAATGCACATCCTGGGAGGCAGCAGGTGACAGGTCAAGTACTTAGGTACTACCCATGTGGGACACCTGGAATGAGTTCTAGGTTCCTGGCTTTGGCCTGGCCCTCTAGAGAGGAATATCAATGGATAGAAGATCTCTATATCTGTCTGTCTGTCTCTCTTTGCTTTTCAAATAACTAAAAATAGAATAAACAGGATCGTCCTATGCAAGCTGGAATGGTCGCTCTACCAGCATCTGCACAAGGTTGGGTCTGGGCACCTATAACCCAATAGGTGGCGCTATCTTGTTAATAAATGTAGTGATTGAGACTTTTCAATTAAAAGTTTTCCATAGGTAATATTGAATTTGGGGATGAAGAATTGTTTTTAAAAGATTTTATTTATTTATTTGAAAGGCAGAGCTACAGAGAGGCAGAGGCAGGGAGAGAGAGGTCATCCATCCACTGGTCTACTCCCCAGATGGCCGCAATGGCTGGAGCTGTGCTGATCCAAAGCCAAGGGCCAGAAACCTATTCCGAATCTCTCATGAGGGTACAGGGCCATCTTCTACTGCTTTCCCAGACCAAGCAGAGAGTTGGATTGGAAATGGAGCAGCTGGACTCAAAATGTCTCCCATATGGGATGCCAGCACCACAGGCGTCAGCTTTATCCATTACGCCACAGCACCTGCCCATTTCATTTCACTGCAATTTACCTGCAATTTACCTGGTCTGTTAAACACTTTGAGAAACCTTTTCTCAATTCTCCTTCAATCAGTGTTCACCTTCTCTCTCATTGCTAACAAGACTGAGCTCTACAGAGTTAACTGTGGTCCAGTCCATAGAGTATTGTTCTAATTCCCATTTGAAGCAATTATCACACTCAGGCTCTCAGCAAGTCAAAGAAATATTTCTGGAATAACCACTTAATTAACTCCAGCAGAAAGAGGCATGAAGATTACAAAGAAACAAACAAAAAAGCCCGAACTAGTCAGGTCCCACTGGTTACTTTGTCACATAAAAAATTTTCTCTTCCATCAGAAATTACTCAAACTACCTAGTCCCAGGGCTAAAGAAGAAATTATTATCAACCTTATTTCTCTTAATTACTAGACAGCCTACTACACCATAGCACTGGCTCTAAAAATACATAAATGTTTTTAAAGTATTATTATCTGCTCTCCATGTGCTGGACCCAACTGCTTTCTCTCTGCCCTGTTCTCCTCCCGAGCTATGACTTGTACCTTCACTCACTCACACCTTCACTTCACTCACCTAACTCTGGTGAACTTACAGCCTAAGTACAGCACAGCTGTGAGCCAGCACTTCATTTTCTCCACCTTCTCCCTCTTTGCCTCTCTTCTGCCTCCAGCTCTTGGAGTGACTAAATATCCCAGATATTGTCATCTGCTCATTAGCAGCGTCATGCTCTCCCGACTCGGGACTCACAGCTCCTAGAACAGTTTCTGCTCTCAGCTAAGAAATTCTGGGAAAATTGTGGGTGGACAGTAAATCCCAGTTAGCCCAGACTTTACTAACTAAGGACATGAAAGATGAATAACACTTTTAACCAAAATGTACCTTTTATTCAATTTTTTTAAGAGCTAGGGCCAGTCTTATGGCACAATGGGTCAAGCCAGTGCCTGAAATGCCAGAGTCCCCTATGAGCACTGACTCAACTCCCAGCTGCTGTATTTCCAATCCAGTTCCCTGCTAATGTGCTTGGGAAGGCAGCAGCCAATAGCCCGAGTACTTGGGCCCCTGCCACCCAGGTAGGAGACCTGGTTGGAGTTCTAGGCTCCTGGCTTCAGCCTGCCTCAGCCCTGGCTGTTGTAGCCACTTGGGAAGTGAACCAGTGGATGGAAGCTCCCTCTCTCTCTCCCTCTCTCTATCTCTATCTCTATATCACTGACTCTTTCAAAAAGAAAAAGTGTTTGCTGAGCCAATTATTTATAGCTAGGTAAATAAAACTCTCCTACTTTATACATAATTTAAAATTTTATATATAACATAATTGTATTTTATAATACTCTTAGTATATACAAATTGGCAAAAGGTAAGTTTTTGAAGCACTCTCAATATTTCTTCTTATCTTTATTACAATATTTACATTATCTGTTGATGATTTTAAAATGAAGTTACATTCTCACACAATATTTGGGTATTATAGTTTCATCACTTGGGGCTTATTATGTTTCAGTTTTACTAAATGTTATTTGTTGGATCATTGCTGAAAAGAAACCAGCATTTTCATATGCACTTAAACATGTAAGAAACATTACTACTAATAAGGAATGATACTTTATTGATTCTTTTATTTATAACCTACCATCCCATAAGTCTTCATTTATGGACTCAAGCCCAAGAAGAGCAATAGCAAATAAGTTTGAGCAGTCACAAGGAAAAAAAGCTATTTTGTTTGGAGAATCATTTTTTTTTTCAGTAAGAAATGAGTTTGCCTGGCAGTTGGCAACTTGATAATATTACTCTATGTAACAAGTACTACTGGAAATTAAATGACAACTTTCCTTCCAATCTGTCATAGAAACATTTTTGTTATGAGACTTTACACTGATGCAAAGAATCCAAGACAAAGTAAATTTTAAAGGACAATTGCTTAGTTTCAGACATTGTACTGATATATGGAGATTTCAGCCAGATTTTCCTCCCGAGAAATTGGAAATAAAGAATCTAAGACTGCTCTCTGAGGGCTAAACTTCAAGATCACATACAATGGGTAAGAGCAGAAGTAAGAAAAATCACCTTTAAAACACAAAATGGCCTGATTTACTTGTAACTTGATTTTTATTGAAAGAATATTGCTAAGAGCTTTGGGTAGTCATGGAAACAGTGAAAGGAACATGCAGGGGGCACTTCAGGACCAGTGGCCATCCAAATGCTGCCAGGCCAAGAGCTAGCACAAATCAATAAACAGCACAACAGGATGTCCCCACTATATTGGAGATCAATGTAGAAATCTGCAACCACTGTAAATTGAGTATGCACTTCCACCTTCAGCACAAAATCATCCTTTGGGGAAGTGGATGATTCAGAAAAGTCTAGGGCTAGGTACAACTCCCCTTGTCTGAATCTGTGCTCAGCAAGCGACCACTGAGTAACACCCGTGGTTTCCTGAGTGGATCTGGCTACACAGAAAATGCATGAACTCTGCAGCTGTAAGAACGTTTTAGCGCTTGGAAATTAATAAGCTAAGATTCTGCTTGTATGTGTCAGTTTCATGACCTTGGTTAATGTCAGCTCATTTGACTGCTAAAGGTATTCTACATTGCTCAAGAGAAATACTTCTGAGACCAGGTCACTCTACACCGGATCCTAAAAAGGTGGGAAATTCGCCCAAGAAATTCTCTGTCCTCTTGGGGACAACCGGCCTTTCCCTGGTAATGACTCCATATCAGTCAGCTAGGCTTTTCCATTTCAGATGATCACCGAAACTACTGGGAGGAGGGTGCCTGTGATTCCTCTCTGGTTTTGTTTTGTTTTTGATGATTCTAATAGTGCTACAGTGACCATTCCTTTCTGGTGGGGAAGACAGCTTGGACCAGGGTAGGTGGCATGGAATCCGTGCATAAAGAGGACAAAACCTACCATTTGTTAACGCATTCATCACATGTTCAGACACAGTATTATCATGATTGCTTTCTGGTAAAACCCAGAACAGGTGAAGGCTACCATCTACCTTATCTGTGGCTGCGCGGGGGCTGAACACTGCTGGAGAAATACATAAACTGAATGGCTGATTTTAACATCCATAATCACAAACTCCGAGAGTGCTCTCAGCCGAGCCGGCAAGTCCTGCTAGATAACTTCACACCAAGCCCGCTCAGCCCAACCCCTGCTTCGCGGAGAACACTCTGCCAAGCGGTCGGCTGAACCAATCTACGTGGTCTCCCGCCAGATACAGAAGCGGCTGCTTTCTCGGAAGAAAACCAACCTAAACTCGAGAGCTCCTGGGAACGCACCAGGTTAAAGCTCAACCCGGAACAACTCTGATTGAAGGAAATCCCTCCATCCAGCAGGGGGCGACGTCTCCCACAGCCGGGGTCGGGCCGCCACGGAAACATCACGTGATCCCGCCGTCTTTGCGCCGGGGGGCGGGCCTGCGGGGATTTGCCGTACGTGCGCGGCGTCATGACGCATTACGTAAGGGCTGGCTAGCCGCCATCTTGCTTCTTTTTCTCGCTCGCTCTCGCCCTCTCGGGAAGGCAGCGAAAGTGCTTTGGCGGTTTGTCCATCCGCAGCTTCGGCTTTCGTAGTCGGGTCGCCTTCGCCGCCACCCCGGTAGCCCCCATTTCCCCTCCCCCTTCCCTTGGTCAGAGTTCGCCTGGATCTGCGAAGTGCGCAAACTTGACACTCAACCCTGGCCGGTAAGGAAGGCTAGGGCGTCAGGGCCGTGATCAAGGAGGCCCCCATCGGGAGGGCCAGCGTGGGGTGGCCTGGGATGTGGGAGCGGATCCCGATCCGGTACCTGGAGGCAGAGGGCCTCGGGCTCAGCCGTCTCCCTGTTGCTTGGCTCCCGTCATCTCTGTGTCTGGGGGAGCGGGAAACCGAAGTCAGATCCGCCCCATGTGGTCTGCAGCGGGAGTTCCGGGCCAGCGGGTCTTCTTCCCCAGCCCCCAGCTCAGGCCCCGAGAGGGGATTGCACGCGTTGCTGGGTAAGCTAGGGGAGTTTCCATCCCGCCGGATTGGTCGGCGCGCGGTCTTTTTTTTTTTTCTAGTGTGGGAAAAGAGGTCCCCACCACCACCAAACAGCTCCAGGGCTCACCCTGGGCCTTGGCGGACTGCGTGTGCAGCGAGGGTAGGATCTGTGGTGAGCAGTGTCTGGGAGAGTCCGGGTTTAAAGACCTGATTCGGTGAGAGGCTTTTTGGGGGCAATCGGGACCTCCGCTAGGGACCGTGCAGCCCAACTCCAAAGGTGGATTTGGGTAGGCTTTTCGCGCTCCAGGCCGCTCCGTCCTCCAGTTGGGTGGTGAATCACAGTCCTTGCTTCCTGTCTTTAAGAAAGCACTAGTATTGTTTGGGTAAAAGCCCCACTTTAGGGCTAGAGAAAAGCACCTGGGGCTGGGGGCAGCCAAGGGACAGTGGTAGAGGCTTGCTTCCTTTGCACGGCCGGGAGTGCGTCTGATTATTTCAAGGGGACGTATATTTGCTTTGACTTGACTTGAGATCTTCTGAGGGTCGGGCATGGTTAATGCTCGCTGCCAAAGCTACCCGGATTTCCGCCTTGGCCGTTCTTCAGCTTAGGTCCATAGATTCATACCTCGGGAGGATACTCGGGATTGTACAGTAGGCGGCTCTGCTGTAAGATTTTCATTTGGAATGCACCAGAAGAGTCGGAAGATCCCTGATTTAAGTGTTTGATAGCTTACTCCTGCAGACTACAATCAAAGGGTGGTATTAAGTGCCCACCAGGCCCAACTCCAGCGGTTTTTTTTTAAAGTAGATTGGATCTCACATACTGGTAATTAAGATGCCGCTTTGACTGGAGCCATTTTTAGGTGTGTGTCACAGATGCATTGCAGCATCTTTTGTGGCTCACCACAAATGCCTTGAACCCCTGAAACCTTAGTTAGAGATTGAATTTGAGTTTTATCTTTAGCATACGGTTAAGTAGTAATTCTCTTTATTTTCTGTAATGGAATTTTCAGAAAATGGGCTTTTTAAGGCTTTTGTGTTTTTGTTTTTATTTAGTATGCTGAACTTGCGTGTGTGGCTCTCTTCCCTCCATAAGCTGACCTTTAACCATGTGCTGAACACAGTAATAAGCCTTTTACATATACTATCTTTTTATTATTCCTACTGAGGGAGATGCTATTATTATCTACATTTTATAGATAAGGAAATGAAATCTGAGAGATTAATTTGACCAAGGTCACACAGCAGTTACTGGTGTCAAAACCCCTGTCTTACCCAAAAAGCAATGCTCAGCTCCCTCAAATTGCCTCCTTGTTCCTTGTAACTTTATAAATATAGTAACTGAGTAAGAAAACAGCACTATTAGTTTTTCTTTAGCTTGACTTCAGCGTATGAACATTGTTGCGTGTAAAGGTTAAAATGTTGCAGTTTGGTAGAAGCTAATTTTTTGTGTGTGTTTAAAGGCCAGCTAAGTCTTTAGAGATAGGTAACTTCACAGTTTCACAGATAAAATTTTTAAATTGTGGGATTTGGCCTATATTGGTAGACTGTTCCCTCATTTGTAAAGTAGCACTTTCCTCAAAGGCTTGCTATAGACTTTTAAAAGGTTATGTAAAGGGCTTATTATTGTGCTCAGTACATGGTAAGGAAGTCAGCTGATATTGCAGATGAAAAAGTAATATTTATAGTCTTGGAATGGCATCTGTATTTCTTGGGATACTTAAAGAGTTAGTTTTCTTCCCTCCCTTCTTCCTTCTTTCTCTCTGTTTACATTTACATGTTGGATTTTGTTTCTTAAACATGGCTCATTCATACTGTAGAGTAAATGTCCTTGGGTTCAGTGTCTTGCTCATAGCTGAAAATCCTGAAGTTTTGACTCATTCCAGCCCCCATCTCCGCCCTTCTCCACCGCACCTTTCTTTCTGGTAAAATGGCTTAGACAGTTATATTTTGTCCCTGAACAGTCCTCCTCCCTGTACCTCCCCACCCCCAACACTGTTTCAATTTGAAAATCCATTGGATAAAGTGTTTTGGATGCTGTTTATGTCATATATGTAAAAACCAAGGATTGATAAAATGTTATAGTACTCTTACAGTGTAGGAAACTGAAAGTTTTGTCTGAGTTATGACTAAGGTACTTCGAGTAAAGCAGACTTGTCATCTTAGGAATAGGATAACACAATAAAAGCTTATCTCAGTCTGTTAATTGTTGCTTAGAAGTCTGAGAGTTAATAGGTTAGTTTTCTGAGTCACATTTTAAGTTCTCAATTTTGAGGATGAAAATATTCTATAGAGAGGATTACTTTAGTAAATTATAAACCTGTTTTTTATTTCTGCAAGTTACATTTCTAGTCATCATTTTTCCCTAAATTAACCGAATGCCATTCATATTGTTGGGCCTGTGCCTGCATGTGTTTGCTGGCAAATCCAATCAAACAGTGCTTATCATTTAGTTTAATAGGAGAGTTTTGTCTGGTTGGCAGATGCTGAGAGCCTGAACACAATATAGGAGTAAAATTATTACTGTCAATGGTATGTGCTCACCTATGTGGTTGCAGCTAGATGTTCAGCATTAAGGGGGGATGGGATATAATCAACATTTGTGGACCAAGTCTACTATAAAAAAAACACAACTGGGTTTTATGTACATAGCAAACTACCAAGCAATTTTGTACTTAATTTCTGTGTTCTGATATTAGTTTGTTCTCCTTACTAAACTGTTAATGTGTCTTCATTATTTTATATAAACCTGGAGTTTATTATATCTAGGGTGAATGAAGAAGGTTGGGCATACTGAAGAATAGACCCATGGCTAAGTTGAACTAATGAATATCTTTTCATGATTTTTCTTTAATAAAGACATTTTATTTATTGAAAGGCAGAGTTAGAGAGAGGGAAAGAAGGAGAGACAGAGAGATCTTCCATCCACTGGTCCACTCCCCACATGGCTGCAACAGCTAGGGCTGTGCCAGGCTGAAGCCAGGAGCTTCATCCAGGTCTCTCACATGAGTGCAGGGGCCCAAGGACTTGGGCCATCTTCCTCTGCTTTCCCAGGCACATTAGCAGGAAACTGGATTGGAAGTGGAGAAGCCGGAATCATATGGGATGCCTGCATTACAAGAAGCTGCTTAAACCCATTATGCCACAATACCAGCCCCATGAATGTCTTACTGGAACAAAAGAGTATAGCAGGTTTTTTTTTCCCTTGCCCATTAGAGTAGTGTCACAGATAGCCTTCAAAGAATTTGTGTTCATACAGTATTCATTGTGAGATACATTGGTATCAAATTTTAATTTTTAGCTTTTTTCAACAAACAATAAAGATTGTTTTTAATTTTGCAAGACCCAGTGAATCAGAGGAATATGGCTTTTGATTTCCACTGTCAAAGTGCTTAGTGCTAAGGATTAATATTAAAAATTATCTTGTAATCTTTGGATTTATGCCAATAGGTAAAAATGATAAGTGTGTAAGAAGGCAAGAGAAATTTTGTGCAGAGAATCCATATATAAAAAGTTATATATACTACAGATTGAGTGCCCAGTTGATAAGATGTGATGTCTAAGAGAGATCAGGAATAATTGCAGTTATTACTATTTATTGGGCAGTTATGCCAGGCACTGAGCTAAGAATATGTTGTGGATTATCTCTTTAAATCTGTATTATTGTAAGCTTGGGAAGTAGATGATTTTTTATTACACTACTAGAAAACCGAGATGTAATGAGTTTTAATTAATTTCTTCGTGGTTACTTAGCTAGTAAATGGTAGAAATGAGATTTGAATAATTGATCGGGAGCCTGAGGGCCTAGCTACATGGCTATCCCAATGGTCAGTATTTCTCAAACTTAAGTCATTAACAATATTTGCTTTATCATCAAACCATCTGTCATCCAAGAATGAATAAGTGTAGAAAGTCACAACAGAAATCAGGGAAGAGAATAATCTAAAAGAAGGATTGGGGCCAACATCGTGGCACAACATGTTAAGCCACCGCTTGTGTTGCCAACACATCAACATCCCACATATCGGAGTGCAGTTTTGAGTCCTGGCAACTCCACTTCTGATCCAGATTCTTGCTAATGCGCCTAGGAATGCCACAGAAGATGGCTCCTGGCTTTGCCTTGGCCTATCCCTGAATGTACTGTTGAAACCATTTGGGGAGTGAAGCAGCAGCTGGAAAGTCAATCGCTCTCGCTCTGCTCTCGCTCTCGCTCTCTCTCTTCTGCCTTTCAAATAAATAATCTTTTTTAAAAAATAAAAATAAGATTATAAGAGCCAAATGTAGCTGGGTTCAGAAAAATATGTGAGAAGTGGCCTTTCAATTTGGTTGAGTGGTCTTAATGATCTTAAAAGAATTTTGATTAAGTGATGAGGATGAAAGGTTGAGTTGGTAGGGGGAGGAGAGGTAGTGAGACCTTGATTTTTAGGTGTGTTAAGTACTCGCACTTTTCTGGAGTTTAAAAATTCAGATGTTGTTTCTTTTTGTGACTTTGTGCCAGCTGTTAATATTGAGGCTAATCATTTGGCTTAGGTATTAGATATATTCACTTGTGAAATAGGGTAATACCTATCTCCTAATCTCAGAGGACTCTTGCAGAGATCACACTAAGTGTGTTGGTATGTATCTTTTTAATTTAATAATTTGATAACTACATAATACCACAATGTGAGTCTTGACCATGTTTAAAGCAGAAAAGAGAACTGGGAGAAAAGGAGAAATTAAGAGAAAGAGA